TTTCAACCGAACCAGGAAAAATAAAAATGCCTCGGCACTCAATTAGATAGACCAAATCCCGTATGAAGGACGGCAAAAACATCTTTCCAATCGACAAATGTCTTGATTGCGGTTCTCTGTTCCTCTTTTAAACTGAATGCGCTGTCGATATCTTCTATAACAGACGCGATGGCTGAATCTACACATCTAAATTCTTCAGCGGCAGCCATACTTTGTTGTAAACGAATTCAACCCAAGCGCTCTTTGGTGATGTGGATGATTACGTTACTGTTGATCAGCTGTCCATCATCGTATAAAGCCCGCCCTGACAATTTGATTGGTCCGAACAGCTTTGGTTCGGGCATACTTGCTTCTCAACGGATCAAGTCCAGACCGAACTTCCCATCCTCAAATGTTGTGGGCGGGGCTAAGTTCGGCTGGCATCCACGCTATAAATATTCAAAATGGATTCCGAAATTAATTAAATAAGTTTTATTTAATGATTTTACAGTTATTGCATTTACCTGATTTCACATATGGTTTCATTCCATTCTGTGAGATTTATAAAAGTCACACACACACACACACACACACACACACACACACACACACACACACACACTTTAAACTGTAACATTGCATCGCATGCCATTTCATACTTATTCGAAGATAATTAATATAGAATACAAAGACTTCCTTTTTTTTTAGCCCCATATATTTCATTTATTATTTGCTATAAAAAAATATCATTTTCTGACTAAATTTCTCCATCATTTAAATGAAGCTGTGTCTGAAACCAAACACAGCTGCCTTGCTGCCTCACTGCCCAGTCAGTCAATGCTTTAACTGTGTTTTAGTACAAAGGCACCTTTTAAAGAAACTAAGGTACCATAACATCATATCTAATGATCAAGAACAAATCCAATTGAGCTTTAGAGTAAACCAAGTGAATTTTTAATGACTGCAATGCTTATTACTTATAAAAAAAGACACTCTTAAGCATTTTTATTCTTTCAACCAAACTGATGCTGTCATTGATAATGTATTTCAGTGTCTATCCAACGTACAAACATGTATACTTTACTTCTTCAAATACTTGAGACCCCTCTAAATAAATAGAAAAATAATCAACTTATTTATTCATTCATTTATTTATTTAAAGTTTTCTAAAGCATACAGTTATCTGGCATGGCCCCAACCACTGCTAACCCCTGCAGTAATGACTGGGTCTTGCAAGGTGTGCCAAATGCGTTTGAGTCTTTCAGATAATTTGGGTAATTGCTGAGTCGTTGGCATTCAAGATTTGAGATTCTGTTTAAAGGGGGTGGTGGGGCATGCCTCATAGGAGTGAGATCTCAAAGTGCCTCTTCCTTTGATGTGTGTCTTGTAATGGAGTGTGTGTATCTATAATTATCTTGCTGTTAGATTTTTCTGCGTCCGTCACATGACCCGATTCATTAGCAGGCGTGTGGACCACCCGTATCAGTGGCTCGCAGTCTTTCATTACATCTTCAGAAGAGTTTTACTGGACAATGACACATCTCCACAGGCAGGTGTGACCAAGTTTTACATGATGTTATTTCTTTAGCAGACGAAAGCATGTCAATATTCACATATCTCCCAGGGGGAAGTGAATAAACTGCACTGGTGAAAAACTCAAGAAGTGTAGAAGTGTAAATTGATCTATAATGGATGAATTTGCCTGTTTACAAGGAAACTGTCATGTATTATAAAAAGACTAATTGGGGGCAAAACAAACTAACTTGAAAGTAAGTTTATGTACAGCAAATCTATCTATCTATCTATCTATCTATCTATCTATCTATCTATCTATCTATCTATCTATCTATCTATCTATCTATCTATCTATCTATCTATCTATCTATCTATCTATCTATCTATCTATCTATCTATCTATCTATCTATCTATCTATCTATCTATCTATCTATCTATCTATCTATCTATCTATCTATCTATCTATCTATCTATCTATCAGGAAAGGCTCTGTCAAGCCATACATTACATTCTTGAAAAAGTTGATGAACTTTCCCTTTTTGTAATTTTTTTTTCTGTGCTATTAAAAATATATATCATCAGTCAATAGCATCAGTCTCTAAAAATAATCGTTTTACAAAACCATTGAGCTTTATTCATTATTGTACAAATGTAGGTCTCAGTTCTGAACATGTTTTCTTGTTTGGGCTAGCTTTTCCTCCAGCCAGTTCCAGCTGAGAGGAGTGAGAGGAAACCTTCTCAAGGCTCTCATTGTTGTGCCTAATCCCCTTCAGACGGGACCCGGACAGAGAGAGAAAAAAAAGCACTTTTTCTAAAGCGTGCTCCGGTTCTATTCATGTACAGAGCTCGCGCTCACCCTCAGCTCAATAGGCCCACAGTGTCGCGTGTCTCACCCAGCGTGGCCAACAATGCCTTTAGTTATGCAAAAGACCAGACTTCAGCCACTTTATTTATCTGAGCAGTGGTGAGGACATAACTGGACTATGCAGACATGGAGAGAATGGAGGGCCTAATGAAACGGAAATGAGATCAGTACATGTTGATAGGATGATATGCAGTGAAGAAATGAACAGAAATTAAGGGCTGTTCACACAGGAAGTAATGTCTGGATATAGTTGCCAAAGGATACGAGAAAGAAGTAGGCCAAGTACATTATTAATCATCATTTAGGTGTCATGTAAACCTTGTGTAGATACCACATGACAACTTGCATCATTTCTTGCAACCTTAAGGAATGAATGGAGGGGTTGTTGTCTATATTTTCCCGTTTGACTATAACAGTGACTGTATGAACAGGATTTTCACATGATATAGCTATGACTGCATTGTAATTTGAAATGGATTTTTTTGGTTAAAGGCAGGACAGGCCGTTTCACTGAGGCTAGCAATAGCAAGCTAGCTTTGAAAGCATGAGATTCATTGAACACGCTGATGACATGTGATGTCTGCGTGAGCAGAGGTATGGAAATACCAACGCATTCTCATCCTTTGGCGTCATATAGGTGACGCCATATGACATTTCGTCGAAATCTTACGCACATGGCATCCTTTAGGCCGTGTGTCCACCAAAGCGTTTTTAGGCAGCTGAAAACGCTAGATGCTCTACTGAAAACGCCTAGCTGTGGGCGCTTGAGAGCGTTTTGGTAGCACAGCGTTTTTTCGGTTGAGACGTTTCGTTGCTATGATACAGAATATCCGCAGCACAGTTTACTTGTAACTGAATTCGCAGATAATTTGTTTCATACTAAAAATTAATTTTTCAATTGTTCGGTTAGCTCTCTTGGTTGATGTCGTTGTACAGAAAGAATGTTGTGACAGTTGGTCGGTGTGGTATTAGTCCCGCCCCTCCTCCACTGTGATTGGACGGCTGGGTAAAAAGTGACAGTGATGAGCGCTGCGTTTTATCCAAAGTTGAACATTTTTCAACTCTCGACGACCAGTAAAAAAAGCCGGGCGCTCAGCGCTTCAGCGTGAAAAAGAAAACGCTCAGCGCCTCGTTACGCTCATGGCGTTTAAAAAACGCCGCGCTCCCATTGAAAACAATTGAAAACATACGCCAGGCGCGTGGAAAAACGCTTTGGTGGACACACGGCCTTAGCGTCAATATAACACGCACTGTTATGGGTAGGTTTAGGTCTGGGGTAGGGTACGGTTATGACGCCTTGGGATCTGCGTCTCATATTCACGCTAAACGATGCCATGTGCGTCGGATTTAGACGCGCGTCACCTGTATGACGCCTTGGGTTCTGCGTCTCATATTGATGCTAAAGGATGCCATGTGCGTAAGATTTCAACGTAATGTACAAAGCGTCACATGTATGACGCCAAAGGATGAGAACGGGCTGGAAATACATATGTGCACAGGCAGGTAGGACATCCTATCATTGCATTCGGACCGAATGCAGTGATTGGATGACCATTTCCTGAGACTTCCACAGAAGATATATGTAAAATATATTTAGACCATGCACTTCTATTATTGATTGCAATCAGGATGTGAAGAGTTTCAACCAGTATGACAAAAAGTCTTTATACAAAATATTGCCTACCCTTCCTTTATAGTATGGAGTTACATGAACCAACCCAAAAAGTGCACAACATTCCTATATTACTATAATTTATAAAACAGAGTGTAAATTCTATCATATTCAAAGCCGTGTGGTGATTAAAACACAACAAAAAATGTATACTCTCTCTCAGTTTTTTAAAGACTCTTATGCACACCAAGGCTGCATTTATTTGATTAAAAATACAGTAAAAACAGCGATATTGAAAAGAGATCTCACTATTTTTAATCTATAATATTGTTGTATACTGGCATAATTTGTTATATCTCAATAAACAGATTATTAAAAAAACACAGCAATATTGTGAAAACATTTATTTAAATTATTTTGTAACATTATAAGAGTCTTTACTTTCACTTTTGACAAATGGAATGTGTCGTTGCTAAATAAAAGTAGGCTATATAAAAGTATAGGCTATATAGGCCTACTATATAGCAATAAGCCATGCAAGGCTCGAGTGTTACAGTGATTTTACCACAGGTGAATGCTGCCTTCATGTGCTATTGGAAATGTCCTTGCCACTTCTGAAGTCGTGATTACAAGCTCATAGCACGTAAAGACAGCGTAAAGGCACAATGCTTCACGTCATGCCTAAGAACACCGCTTGTGGTCAACAATTGCCAGTCCAAACTCTCATTGATTTTTGCTTTATTTGATTTAGCAGAGAAGTATCAACACAACAGCAGCGCTATCAAAGAGTGACATGAACACTGAACACGGTAAACTTCACACACTTCAGAGGGAAATGATAGGGTGACAGGGTGGCCGTGACTGTAGTGTGATCCGAGCAGAAAGTCTGTTTCATGGCTGTGAATTATCTTCAGTCAGTGTGAAATATCTGTTGTGTTTGACAGCGTGTGGTGTCGTAGGAGGTATTGTGTTATGGATCTGACGGCCCATCGAGAGACGCTGACAGCATAAACCTCTCTATCCATTAGAAGCCTGACAGAGGCCGTGACAGAACGTTTGATGAAGGAGAGGAGAGAGGGAAACGCAGAGCTGAGGAAACTGAGTCAGCAGCACACATCTGTTGCCGGAGCACCAGGGCAAGCCAGAGTAACATCAACCAAGCACAGATGAAAATCACTGTCAAACTCAAGCGGAAAATATTGGGGGAAATAAATGCACCTGTGGCAGCTGCATCTGGTCGAAGCGTAGGCCTATATGTGGAAAAGGGATGCCAGCTTTATGAAATGTTATACCTAAATGCCATTTAATTCATTCAATTATAAATCCATTTTAATGACAGAAATAACAATATTTCGGTTTTATATATGAAGACTTGAAGTGCCATCTGAAATCTTCTTCTAAAATGAGCATTTTTATCAAGCTTTTATATTTAAGTTCAGTAATTTCACTTTAATGACAATTAATAGGTAATTGTCATTGCCATTAAAGTGAAATAACTGAACATAAACATACACAAGCTTTATAAAAATTAGCATTCTAGAAGAAAATTTAAGATGGGACTTCAAGTCTTCATATAGAAATGTAATTACTTACTCTCTATATATATTTTAATCCACTGTATGTTACTGAGTTTATTATGATTTTTGTTTAACTGTATGAATGGCTGGGTTATATGCTATGCAACATGTTTTTATTTTATTTTATTATTATTTTGACTTTTTTTTTTATAATAAACTATTGCAAAATTTGTTAAAGCAGAGGTTTCCAAACAAATCAAAATATTTTTTGGGGGATGTTTATAGGGATTATTTTGGGTATAATCTTAGAAATGATTTATAGGTTTTTGTGTCCCACACTTATCTTATTCCATCCTGTAAGTCTTTTGTAAGTTAACAAAAGACACTTCCTTAATGACATCATCACCCAGGAAGTGACATCATGATGGAGGGAAACCAAAAGCACAAACGTCAGTGAGTATCTTTTTTATGGTATTAGTTAGTTTGCCACATTCTAAAACATTGCATCCTGTTAGAGAAAATGACAGATAACAGTTTGTTAATGTCACACTGTCAAAAGACGGGTTAACAAATTAAAATAAACTTAAGTTGCATTGGGTAATTTGGTAATTTAACCAAGTTAAATTGGTCATTTTTGTAGTTCTGATTTAGGCTATACCACTTGTAGTGTAACTGTTTATTATGAGCCTGCTTTATTTGTACAATTAAGACATTTTTGTGCAGAAAATCAGTAACCAACCAATTTTTTTTACCGATTAAAATTGACATAGTGTGGAAAAAGCATACCGGTCTCAAAGAGAGAAGGGGAGTGCCCTGACTCATTCCGCAGTTGTCTGCCAGGAACATGACATCTACTTATACTCTAATGTTATAACTGGGAATTCACAGTATTTATTTTACTTTCTGATTTTTCTCATAAAAGTAAGAGCTTCTGAGCATACTGAATATCACAAGCAACTCCCAAGCAACTGAGATCAGTTGAAAACAAATAGATCCAGCAAAATTTGTAGTAACAACAACATTGATGTGAGTAAAATGAATAATAATGAATAAAATGTTGCCATTGAGTAGATCTATCATATTGGTCAGAACTTTTTATGTTTAACCTATGTTTTATGCAAAAGAACATATGATACCACAGACGGCTAGTATATGTAGGCAAGCATGTGTTTTGGGAATTGGCAAGTAGCCATATGAAAATCCCTAGATGACTACTAATGAATTGAGCTCTCAATGACTACTGCAGTTTGGGGACTCCACCCTCAGCTTTCATGCCATGTTTTTGTGTTTGGTGGTAAAATTCAAGTTTTAGGATTGTTTCAGGAATATTTGATAATCGTAAACTAGTTTGTCTACAACGATACCTTATATATTCCCTTTATTTTCCTGTAGCTGTAACTGGTAGAGTGTTGCAGCATGCAAAGGATGTGGATTTGCGTTCTGTCAAACAATTGTACCCCTTAAATGCACTGTAAGTTGATTTTGAAGAGTTTGCCAAAAGAATACATTTAAATATTCTTCTGAACCTTTTAAAGCTCAGACGTGTATCATTAGTGCCTGCTTGAGGGTTATGTCATATTTTTATTATTCAAGCTTTACTTGTAAAAATTTGGTCACCATAGTCACCTCTATATCAGTTCCATGATGTCAACAACCTGTTTGGCAGATTTGTGTAAAACGAGCTAGCATGCAGCAAACTGTTACTTTGTAGATTCTCCATTATTTTTCAGAAAAGAAAGAGCTGAAGTTGAATTTCGACCTCCGAATGGCTAGCTAATGAATCGTCGTCGGTTGGGGCCAATTACATGATCTTCAAAGGCATTTTGGGCAATGAACTCGGATATTAGGAAGTGTGTGTAAGCATGCAGAGTCTTGGTGGATAAGTAATAAGACCCACTTAACTCTTCAATTATTTTCCATTACAGGGGAGCCACAGCAGTGTTTTGCCTGCTCAGTTTATTGGTAATGGAAGGCTTCATACTGAGGAGTGTTAATTGGTAGGTGTCAGAGCTAGAGAGTTGCGGGTTATGTTTAGAGCATCTTCATTAGCGCTTAGCTCCTTAAGTGAAACTCGTCACTGCCTGCGTGCACCTATGCGTATACAAGCATGCACTTTTTATCGTGCCGCTCGCTGCCGTTGCAAACACGGCGCTCCATATCAAGCTGGTCTCCAAGCTGAGGCCCTTTCAGAAGGGTGGATAAATTATGTACATTTTTTAGCATTTAACTGAAACTCTCTTTCATTGGGCGCAGCTGCACTCATGGGGACTTTCTTGATTTCTGTGGTGATTAATTCAGTTCACATCTTTATTTTCAAAAGCCGATTATTTCATTTAAAGCCATTACAGATTTATCCTCACTCAATGTCTCTGGATAATTCACACAGCCAGAATTAATGGGCTTTGCTGTCCTTTGAAATTGACCATCAATAACTGAATAGGGGCAACATAGATTTTTGGTTGTTTATTTATAATTATAATAAACAAATATTATTTTAAATTGTATTTAAATATATATTACTGTTCAACATTTTTGAATATTAATATTGTATTGGCCATCGTTTTATTAAAGGCATTTACAATGTTACAAAAAAATTATATTTCAAATAAATATTGTTCTTTTGGACTTTCTATTTACATTTATGCATTTGGCAGACGCTTTTATCCAAAGCGACTTACATTGCATTTCAAGGTACAAATTTACATTCTTATCAGTTCTTGCTTCCCCTGGGAATATAGGACCCATGACCTTGGCGTTACAAGAGCCAACGCTCTTCTGTTTGAGTGACAGGAAGGCGCAAAGAATTCTATTCTTCAAAGAATCCTGAAAAAAAATTATCCAAGTTTCCATAAAAATTTTAAGCTGCACAACTGTTTTCAACATTGATAATATTAAGAAATTAGAATTATTTTTGAAGGATCGTATGACACTGAAGACTGGAGTAATGATGCTGAAAAATTCAGCTTTTAAAATATATTCAAATCAAAAACGGTTATTTTAAACTGTAATATATTGCATAATATTACTGTTTTTCTATTTTGATAACATACTGTAAATGTAGCCTTGGTGCACATGAGACTTTTTACATAAAAAATGTAATATCTTACAGACCCCAAACTTTTAAAGGGTAATGTATTTGTTAACCATAGAACATATTTATGTTGTAAAAAATATGTCTGATTTATATTTAAAACATATATTTCTTGAAATAAAAAATAAAAATATAATACAAATGTATTAAAACATTTGTTTATTATAATTGAAAAATATATGAACAAACATATTTTATAAAATATTATGACCAATGAAATAAACAATATTTTATGAAAAATTATGATTGGATGAGTCAATGAGAACCCAAACATGAGGGTCTACATTTAACATTTTATTGAATATTGGTTAATTTTATCATGTTACCGTTGCTGCCTGTTTAAAAAAGCAGTAAGCCACTGCAGAGACAAAATCAATGGCCTCTAGTCGGTTATTGCCTTAATAAACTGCAGATTTCAGAGAGCGGCTTTCAATCAAGAAGGAGATAAAAGCCATTTGTTCTGAAAAAGCATTTCGGTTTTGTTTAGTGAGTGTGAGGAAGCACTCTACGTGGACTATGTGCATACATTGTGTGGATGGTTTCATTAAACTTTTACTGCAGAGCCCTTCTGGCTCAAAATCTGTTTAGTTTAGCCCCAAATCCGGCACCCCTCCCCCCGAAAAACCACCCTGTCTCCCACGTCTCACGGGACCGCTAGATCCCATTTAAACACGGCCAAGTCACACGAACGCATTCGCCCTAGAGAAGTTTGCTTCCTTTGACAGACTACCCTTCACCGACGGCGCGTTTTCATTAAGGCTTGCAATTTGGACACTTTCCAAATCACCTCTATTCTTTCGGGCGAGAAGCACACTAATTATGCCAGCGTCTTAAGGAGAACTGGAAACACAATTACGCATCTTCCTTCTGGTGCCTGTGCGCAGTGGTTTGTAGGTCAGGGGGACGCGGGCCCATTTCATCACAATGAACGCATGAGCTGCATGGCTAATGTTTTAATCGTAATAATTAATACCACTTCGCTCTCATGCTGCTGCTAATTATGCATCCACACGTCACGGCGCAGACCTCGTTGATATCTGGAGAGAGGGGATTTCAGCCAGGTTTTCCAAATCCCCAGGAAGTCAGGGTTCATTTGGCAAGCCGAGCCATTTCCAACACTTCAGTTGAATGTTAAACATGTGAAAAGGGCTTTTTACTTTCTAGATTTCTAAGTGGTATGTTTAGTTGTACAGTATGTTTCGAGTAGGCCTATAGTGAGAAAGTAGACTGACCAATGGTCTATTAACACCAAGAGTGAAATGTGCTGCTGATCGAAGATCACATTGAACTAATAGTTCAGTTCAGGCGTTTGCTGGTATATGCCAAAATTATGCCAATATGTGGGCATAAAACGTATTTCTCCATTGTTTCTACCATTTAAAAGTACACTCTAAAAAATACTGGGTTGTTTTAACCAATGTTTGGGTCCAATATGGACAAACCCAACCGTTGGTTTAAATTTTGTAATTAAATTTTATACCAAATGATCAGGTTTGTCAATTGTGGCGAGCAGGACGAGGTCGAGGGACGTGAGAGATATGAGACCGATGCATCTCACAGGTGTCGTTCATCAGTAATCACACCACCGGCCTCGCGCAGTTCTCTCACGTCCCTCGACCTCGTCCTGCTCGCCACATCTTTCACCCAAACATAGGTTGAAAAATGTATAGATAGATATTACTGGGGCTGCAGTGGCTCAGTGGTTCATGTAGGTTGTCTACAAACGGCGGCAGTGTGCCAAGTGTTGGGGCGGCAGTGGCTCAGTGGTTCATGTAGGTCGTCTACAAACCGGAAGGTTGGTGGTTCTGGGTTAGGGTTATCCCCGGTTCCACCTGACCAAGTGTCGAGGTGTCCATGAGCAAGACAACCTAACCCCAGCTGGATGGCGCCTTGCATGGCAATGTAACTATAGTAGTTATAGTTATCATTCTTGGGTCTTGGTGTGTAAACAAATCACTCATGTTGTTCCACACCTGTTTGGCTTCCTTTGTGGAACACAAAAGACGATATTTTAAACAATGTCTTTTTTTTTTTTTCATGCAATTAAAGTCAGTGGAGTCCAGTGTTCTTTGAACCCCAACGTTCTTCACAATTCTTTTGTCTCTTTTGTGAACTGCAATCAGCTTTGGAATGAAATGAGGATGAGTAAATGATGACAGAAAGTTCTTTTTTGGGCGAACGATCCCTTTAAAAGTGTGAAATTAAACTGTGGTTTCCCGTGTCTGCTGTAAGTAGTTGCAAAGAGTTAGTTGATTGGGTCAGAAACGGGCTGCATGTGCCAGCTAAGCAATTGCCGTTCAGGTGTTAATGGACAGTTTCTCCAGGTAGTAGACCTCGTTGGTTCTTCAGACCTTTCCTCAAT